AATAGAAGCTGTTTTGTCTACATGGAAATCTGCTGTCCAGCCAGTTCATCAGTGATTTTAGCTAGATCTCCTGGATACTTGCTACAGCTTCTCCATTAGCGCTTGCTGCTTCACTGTGCACCTTTATGTTCTAGAGCGGCTTCTTTCTTAAATCTCATGAACAACCTCTGCTACTTCAGACTTTTCTTCTGCAGCTTCCATTTCTCTCAGACTACACAGAATTGAAGAGAATTAGGCCTTGCTCCAGATTAGGTTTGGCTTAAGGGAATGTTGGCTGGTTTGATCTTCTGTCCAGACCTCTCAAACTCTCTGCATCTCAGCAATAAATCTGTTTTGTTTTCTTATCATTCGTGTGTTCACTGGAGTAGCACTTTTAATGTCCTTCAAGAACTTTTCCTTTGCATTCACAACTTGGCTGTTTGACACAAGAGGCCCAGCTTTCAGCTTACCTGAGCTTTCCGGCATGCCTCCTCACCTGAGCCAGCATGATTCTAGCTTTTGATGGAAAGGCAGAGACTGGGGATCTCCCTCTCACTTGAGCACTGAGAGGCCATTGTGGGGTTATTAATGCCTAATTTCAATACTGTTGTGTCTCAGGAATAGGGAGGGCTGAGGAGGAGGGAGATGGGGAGTGGCCAGTTGGTGGAGCAGTCAGAACACACACGATGTTTATTAAGTTCACTGTCTTATATGGGTGTTGTTCTTGGCACCCAAAACAATTGCAATAGTAACATCAAAGATCACTGATCACAGGTCACGATGACAGATATAAAAATAAAGAAAAAGTGTGAAACATTGTGGGAATTACTGAATGTGACACAGACATCAAGTGAGCATGTGCTTTTGGAAAAATGGCACCGATAAACTTGCTCCACATAGAGTTGCCACAAACCTTCAATTTGTAAAACGTACAATGTCTGTGAAGTGCAGCAACATGAAGCTGAATGAGAAGAGATACGATGGTGTGTGTGTGTGTGTGTGTGTGTGTGTGTGTGTGTGTGTGTGTACATGGGGGGCGGAAAGAGAGAGAAAGAGAGAATGTTTGCATACCTATGCAATTTCCCAAGCCACCTCAGCTACCTTTCAGGGCTCACTGTGGGAGGGCAGCTAATCCCCTTTATTATGCATCTATTCTTACTGGATTTACTCTCCGCAGAAGACATTCTCACCAAGTTATTGGAGTGGGGGGTTGGGGGCCTCCTGTATTTGTGCCTTTCAGAGCTTTGACATAAGTTTAAAAAATGAATTAAAAGTGGAGATGACTAGAGCAGTCGTGCACCCTTGGTGCAGAGAGAGGGCTGTGCCTTACTGGAAGGTGATACCGTGTGGCTCTTTATCAGAGCGGGGCCACCCCTACTTCAGGCTGTTCCTAGATGTATAAAAGAACATTCAAAATGACTTTAAGAAACCTGTATGCTGCCAATTCCTTTCTAACGTGTTTATAAAATGTTAGAATCCAGACACAGTTCCTGAGCTTTGGAAGCAAACCCCTGAGCCCGGAGCCCCTGGAGGTGGTGGACCTCGCCTGTGGGTGGATCAAGCAGTCAGGGCAGGATGTGCTTTAAGAATCCAAATGAATTCAAATACACTGCACAGGACCCTGAACTTGAGGCGAACTTACCGATCTCTGGCTGGCTATTAATCCTATAGCTAAATTATTTACGTAAAGGGAAAAAATCCAACCCAGTTAACCATACAACAAACACTAAATAAAAGCAAGGTAATATATGGGCATTTCTAAGCTGCTTAGTAAAACTTGAAGTTTCTTCATCTCATGTAGTAACAGAAATGACTTGGGGGAATTTGGGGTATTTGGGGGAAGAAAACAGTGAGCTTTCTGAATATTGGGACTTTTGCCTGCAGCAAAACACAGCTCAGACAAGTGATTCCTTAGAAGGACCACCACAGCAGAACAGAGAAGCAGAAGGGGAGAGGCAGGCTGGGAGCTCCGGACTTGAATTCTGCCCCCTCTGCCCAGCAGGACTGGCCTGAAGCAGAACCAGGCTTCCAGTGAGGTCCCTCCTCTCTGCCCTCCTCCAGGAGCAATCCTGCTCGCACTGTCCCTGCTGGGCTGTCCTTGTATCCACTGCCTGCTCTTTCCTCTTGGCGGAGGTGCACACACCTTGTGCACTAACTCACTGTGGCCTGGTGTTGTAAACTATGGTGCATGCAGCATCCAACATAAATGCACAGAGTGCAGGGTGACGTGGAACCATGCTCACCGTACTTGGTTCAGACAACAGATGACAAAACAGCATGGCCACTTTTGTAGGAAAGAGCGTAATAAGAAAACAAGCACGTGCACCTATCTATTCATGGACAGAAGGCCTGGGCGGCCACCCTACGTGTTAACAGTGCTTATCTGCAGGGGCAGAGTCACAGGGGATTTTAACCTGCTTGGGTCTGTCTGCTTCTCAGCCCCGAAAGTGTATTACTTTGGTACCGCAGTCCGCCCCTCAGCACTCGGCAGTTTTACAGAGTCAGGGTGAGTTAAAATGCTAAGAAGCAACAACAGCTTCCTGAGGACCTTGCACGTGCAATACTTGGGGCTCCCCGGGAGCCAGGAGGCTGGCGTTAGCTCTGGGCCGCCCTGTGAGGCTCTGGAAGGGAAGCCCGTGGCTTCTGAGGCAGGAGGTCCCTGGGTTCATCCGTGCGAGGCCCCTGCCCTCTTCAGGGAAGTGTCATGGTCTCCCCCGACCAAATCGGCCTGGCTTGCTCGGAGTTACGCTCTGAGGACTGACCCAAAAACAACACCAAAAAGAAAGCACTTTAGGCAATCCAGTTGCTCTTTGCTGCAATCTCTTTTCCTCTCTTGCTCATTGCCTGAACTCAGCTCAGGGAAAGCAGGGCCTGGGCCCTGCCACACTGTCCTCCTCCCTCCTCCGAGTTGCTGAAATGGCCATTGTTTATTGTGCTCCCTGGAACAGTCTCGTCCACACGCACCTTGCCTGCCGTCGCTGCCCTCTTGGGAATCGTTCTGCTAAGTCTCCGTTTCCCTTCTTGTTTTGCAGCCCACCCAAACCGACCGTGTTCATCTCTGGGGTCATCGCCCGGGTAAGTCCAGGGGCACCTGCGGTGGATGCGAGGCTTTTGCGTGCCAGCGCGGGACCCCCCAGCTCCCCCAGGTCTTGTTCAACTCTGCCCGCAATAGCCAGATGACACTCGCTGGTCATCAAGTCCGGGGCCAGTGGCTCTCTCCACTGTCACACTTCCACGGAGCATGGCTTTGCAGTTAGGAATGTGTGAAGGAACCCGGAGCACAGAGCGGACCTGCGGTGCCACAGAACTGCCTTCCTCTCCCCCCCCCACCTCCCTCCTCCTAGGGCTGGGCCAGGGGTCGGCAGACTACGGCCCCCGGGCCAGGTGTTTGTAAGTGACCTGTGAGCGCAGAATGACTTTGCATTCTTAAGTGATTGAGAAAGCAAAATAATTGTGTGTGGGCCCACGTGAGAATCACATGACATGCAAACGGAGCATCCGTGGACAGGGCTTTAGTGGCACACGGCCACGGCTGATCTGTGGCTGCTTCCGTTTGCAAATCCCAGACTAGACTTGTGGTTTGGGTCGCACCCTTCCTGTGCCGTTCAGGAGTCCCCGTCTGGTGAGCCCCGACGTTCTGCCTTAGCTGCTGGCGTCCCAGCAGCTCCCGCAGTAAGGCCGTCGGTGGCTCTGTTGCTCCCGGGACATTTGAGTGCTTACACGGTGTCCGGAGAAAACGCCATTGTTGAGGCCTGCTCACTGTTGGCAGAGCTGTGACCATGGCCATCCAAAGACCCGGGGACAGATAGGTGGCCTGCGTACCACATGAGAGGAAATTAAATGCCAACACCTCAGCCAGCTGGCCCAGCCAGAGTGCGCGTGGCTCCGGCCTGCCTGTGGTGGGCCAGGGGTCAGCCCTGGTCACACACCCCCAGTTGGCAACGGAAGCCATCGATCCCTCTCGGGAAAAGCAGTAGGCCCTTTCTCCGAGGCTGGCAGGTTGAGTCTGGCTCCATCCCACCGCCGCGCTGTGTGTCTCCTTCCCGGCCAGCGCCCAGGCCTGGCTCACAAGTGTAGCAAATTTGAACTTAAGACCCTGGATTGGTCCTGTCGTGTCCCCAGTTTAAATGATCACAAAAACAGATCTAACAGAAGAAAGCCACCAACACCCAACTCAGGGCCAAGCGAGGTGTGTGGCTCCTGCATCTCACGGCAGGGGGCAGAGCCGGCAAGCGTTCTCGCCATGCTAACGGCTCGTGGCCTGCGGGGGCCTGCTCTCCCCGGTTCCGATGGCCTGGGCGCCCGCCAGCCACAGGACACAGGCTGCTGCCTGCTGACAGGTTCTCCTTCCCTCACTCTCCCTGCAGGGGCGCTGGGTGGACACACTGGGCCTCGGCGGGGCGGTTGGGGTCCTTATCCACCGACCGGGTGTGTACTGTTGACAGCCCCTGCGTTCTGTGTCTCCTGACAGGGTGACAAAGACTTCCCCCCAGCGGCCGCGCAGGTGGCTCACCAGAAGCCCCACGCCTCCATGGACAAGCACCCCTCCCCCAGGACCCCGCACATCCAGCAGCCGCGCAAGTGAGCCGTGCCCAGACCCCGGCGCCGTCACCAGCAGCGCCCTGGCTGTCCTGCCTCGGTGTCCTGCCTCGGTGTCCTGCCTCGGCGTCCCTCGACGAAGAGAACTGGCACTTTCTCCAAAACACTGTCCACTGGGAAATCTAAGACAAAGCCAAGTACTCCTTCCTTTGCCTTAGATTTCCATATTCGAAACTAGGAATGGCTCGAACCCCAAACTTTCTTCACAGGGATCTCAGGTTGGATGTCATTTGAGGATCATTTTGCCCCCCCTTCCCCCCAGAAGTGCCATCAGTAGAATTTGCCAAGATATGAGTAAAATGAAGTGATTTGGACTTTAGCTTTAGATCTGTTTCAGCAGTTGCCCGAAGTCCCTGTCTGCGGCCTTAAAAACAAGAAGGTGCAGATGTGGGAGGATTAGGTTAAGGTTAGGGGAAAGCTCAATCATTACGTGCTTTTTAGTAATAGGACCATGAAGTCTTCACACCTACGGGAGCGTAAGAAATAAGAGAGTCGACTAAGATGCGGGTTTCAGGGAGGCAGAGCAGGAAAGCCCTAGAAACAGGCGGCGGCTGCGCCGAATGTCCCCTCCCTCCCCCCGCACGCCGAGGGATCCCTGTACAGGGTGACCAAGCTCTCACGGGAAAAGCAAAAGAAAACAAGTATTTTTTGAAATGGCTCTTTTATTCCAGGAGTCAATGTGCCAGAAAATAAGGGTGTAGGCGGTTTGCTCAGAGGCTGTTCCTCTGCGGTGAGATCCCAGCATGGCGAGCCCAGCATGGCTGCAAGCCAGACAGGCTCCTCTGGGGAAACTGAGGCAAACCTATGTGGGGTTTTTTTTGTTTTTGTTTTTTTTTTTTTGGTAATCACCTCTAGAACTGCTTTTGAAGTGTCCAGGGTGGAGGAATAGACTCACAGCTAATTCTGGAACACCTGAGCAAGAGAGTTGAAAGCAAGGAAAGACCAGGAAAAAAAAAAAAAACCCAGGGACACAAAACACCACATTCCATTTGAGCTGGGAAAGCCTGTTGTTGACCAGTGTGACTGTCCAGAAGTCTGCCTGGGCCCTTCCTCACCCGGGCGCATCAGACTATCTCTGATTGCTGCAGGGTCTCCTGCCCGGAGCTGCCCTAGGCTGCTCCCAGGCTCACGGCTTTTCTGAAAAGCCAAAGGGCTGGTTCAGCCAGGCGTGAAATCTCCCGAGCGCAGCTTCCGGAGGGGCCGGCCGCGGGCGGCCCGCATGTCGGCATGTGCCGCGAGCAGCGTCCACGGCGCCAGCCTTGCGATGCCACTCTGCAACCCGCGTCTGCCAGCTGGCAGGGCAGCAGCAGACCTGGCGGACCCGGAGGGCGAGGCACAGCTCAGCCTCACATTTAAAGGCAGCGTCTGGTTTCCCATCCGAGTGACCTACGGGAAACCAGTGTGTAACGCTCAAGGCACTGGGTGGTCACTTCTTGAATTTCTTAGTCACTTCAGTTGGTATAAACTGAAGGTGGCTTTTGGAGACCCAGCCTTGACCGGCAGCGCTGCCATGAAACACTGAGCCAGCAGCCTCCTCCCCGAGGACCTCCTGTAGCCGGTGCCTGGGAGGGCCCCGGGAGCGCCAGGCCAGGCGTGGGACCATCGGACCCTCCCCACAGAAATCCAGAGGCGTCCTTACTGCCTTCCAGTCTGCAGCTGGAGGGAGGGCTGTCATTCCCAAAGGTGTGGCGTTCATGTACTTGTATCTAGATCTGGCATGCGCCTGTGGGTTCTAGATCATTGACATGAATTGTTTTCCTAAATGAGTTTATCAATTGTTATCAAGGATAATAATGATTCTAATAAAGCTTCTGCATTTCTTCTTATGGTTTGTTTTTCCTTGTATTTCAGAGATCCCTTTTTGCATTTTACCGGAGTTGCCAGATGGTTTCAGTAGAAATACAAACATGTGTACATGATGGATATTTTCAAAAATTATTTCCCAGACACAAAGTCAAACTATTGGACACCTGGCAACTGGAGTCTAATCATCTACTTAAAATGTCATAAAATGGAAAAGCTTAATGCAGTTGATTAAAACGTATCGCGTGGGCCCGGCAGCTGGCCCTGTGCGGGGGAGGCTCTTTGGGAACAGATTTAAGAGACGATGATTAATAGGAAGCCCAGGGGTGATGGTGAGCAGCTTTGATGTACGAGACATTTGCTTTAATCAAAAGGTCTCCTGTAACCCATGAGTAAGATGAGAAAATAATCGCAACTGTTCAACTTGGAGATCCAGAATCAGATGATGGAATTAGACCTGGGAGGGGCCCGGAGGTCTCCTCACTCAGCACAGCATTTGTCGGGAAGGACCAGGGGCCACACTCAGCCCCCCTGGGTGTGGCAGTGCTGGCAGAGTCTGCCCCTCCAGCAGCCCCGGCCTTGCCCTTCCTGTTGCCTCTGACGCTGCTGCTTGTCCTCGCGCATCCTCGAAACTGAGGAGCCAACCAGGGTCTGACTCATTTTGTCTCACTGGGCAGAGAGTCTGTTCTCAGTGAATAGTCCATGGCGAGAAGAGGGGTCACACTGAAATGTGTCCTGGGCTTCTGCTGGGATCACGCCCACCCATCTCAGAGAAGCCCCTCGGCTCTGCTCTTCAAACCAGAACCAGCCACTGATGGGGGCTCGTGCCGCGGACAGCGGACCCAGCAGCTCAGGGTGGGTCTCGGGTCCACGGTCCACCTCCACTGACTAGGTTTGGGTGAGCCCCAATGTGAGCACTGAGGATCGAAGCCACAGGGTGTGACATGCCTGTGGTCTGGACGAGACCTGCCAAGGAGACCATGGAGTGACCACCAGCCAAGGGAGGGCACAGCCAGCCCGATGGGCCCGAGCTCAGGCACCCTGAGAAAGGGCAGGGACGTGGGGAGGACAGGCCGGGTATAGCCAGGCCCGGCGGGTTGGTAATTCATTAATTCTTTTGAAAGCATCTGTCTCCCGCCTCGGCAGTCCGCGGTGTTCTGCTGTTCTGCAGCTTTTCCTGTCTTCGCAGCTGCTGTGCTAGTTAAGTGCTTCTTTGAACAAACCCAAAAGTAAACTTTTTTCCCTAAGACTTGGCATCCTGCTGGCCTCTGCGGTATAGAAACAAAAACAAAACAAAAAACCAGGCTGTTTCGTAACCCTCCCAGGAGGCATCTGCAGCCATATGCTCTTGAAGACAGGGAGCGTGAGTAGGTGGCAGTGGCGAACCGTGGAACTTTCAGTACTTGAAATATCCTCGTAGAAGTTGCATTAGCCAGAGTTCTCCAGAGAAACAGAACCGACGGCTGTGTGTGTGTGTGTGTGTGTGTGTGTACATATGTGTGTACACACACACAGAGATTTACTTTAAGGAATTGGCTAGGAGATTACGGGGACTGGCAAGTCCAACACCTGCAGGGAGGGCCAGCAGGCTGGAGGCCCAGGAAGAGCTGATGTTGCAGTTCAAGGCCAAAGGCCATCTTGCCGGCACGATTCCCTCTCGCTCAGGGGAGGTCAGTCTTTGTTCCATTCAGGCTTTCAACTGATTGGATGAGGTCCACCCGCATTATGGGCCCTTGCTTTGTTCAGTGTCCGCTGATTCAAATACAAATCTCATGCAAAAACACCCTCATGAGAAACATATAGCACTATGTCATCGTGCCCAAATATCTAGGCATGGTGACCCAGCCAACTTAACGCATAAAATTAACCGATGTAAGAGTTCATGGCAGCTCATTCATCTCTGAGTCCTCAAAACATCTTGGATCTGCCTTTACTTTGACCCTGCAGAAGTGTCTGCACGTCTTCTCAGCATTCTAACGTCCGCCTTGCTCTTCCAAACAGAGTTTCTAAAATTCAGTGAAGGGCATTCATGACGAGAGAAAATTATTTTCCCTCATCCTCTCCTTTAATCCTAAATATTATTATAAATCCAACTGCCATGCTTTCCAAAAAAATCCAATTTGTCAACTGGAAAAGACCCAATGTGGCCTGAGATAATGAACTAATATAATCTAAAGGATTTGGGACTCTACCCAGAAGCCCTGGACCAGCTTTTTGATGACATTTCAACACAGCCATTCTGCACTACTGAGGGTCATGTAAAAGAGAGAGTCCAACATTTTGTAGCATAAGGGCTCAGTTTCCTGTGCAAATTACCAGAAACCCACTTGTGTTATTCTCCAAGTAGGGATGGATTGAGGACATGCAATGTGCTTGGAGAACTAGTAATGAGCTTCACTCTCTCTAGGGCAAGGGTTTCCACTTCGAGGTGATGTCGCCCCCAAGGGAGCATGTGGCAATGTCTGGAGACATTTTTGGTTTCCACACTGGGGAGCTGGGAGGGTGCTTATGGATAGCATCTAGAGGGAGAAGCCTGGGATCCGCTAAAAATCTATAACAATGCAATTACACCATCAAGAGCAAATTTCTCTCAACCTGGAATCTTGCAGGGGAAAATATATTTGTTTCAGTGATGATGGCACATTTCGTGGAAGCAGCTGAAGTAGCTCAAGCTTGTGAGTGTTTTCCAGTCCCCGGAGCAGAAAATGGTGAATTGCTACGATGCAGGTTTGCTCCTGCACGCCACGGACAATTTTAGATAAAGCAAATCTTCTCCTTCGGGGAGAGCGTGCGGTGGCTTTACAGCATTATGGCTGTTTTCTCAGTCACTGATACAAAGAAGAGCCAAGATAATGTCCTTGGTGGCTTCCCCGAACACTCACCTAGGGCAGGAAGGACAGTCACGCTGGCTTTTGGCTCAGCTGTTTAAATATTCTCCAAGAGAGGTCTAGAAACCTCTTGCCAAACAAGTGCAGCCTGTTTTCCAGAGTAAACCGTGTATGCCTCGAGCTGCTTGATTAACCTAGGCGTTCTCAGCACACACAGCAAAGGGGAGCAGAGCTACGGAGGAGAATGAGCCTCTCTGAACAAGCGGCTTGCACAGGACCTCGGGTAGGTAGGAAGCGACTTTGGCTTGGTCCTGTCTCCCTGCCTCCTAGCACGGTTCTCGCCTGTCCAGCCCCTCGGCAGACCCTTGCTCTGTCACAGAAGGACTGAAGACTGGGTGTGAACTCTTGGGGAAAGTGGTCATTTCTTACCCCTGGTACCTCCCATAACCCCAAACCACTGGGTGGTGACTAAGAACGCTGGCATCCGACATGTCCCTCAGACTCTGAAGATGTTCAGTTAGTTGGTTCTGCTTTTAGCTGCAACATGTGCAACTAGACTACTTCACACAGTACATAAGTGACAAATTTCAGAGCATTAGACAAAACAAAACTTTGCGGAAGTCATTGTTTTATCACAATTCCCTGCCTTCTGTACCAACGCAGCCTCCATGCTCACCTAATAGGGCCAGTGGCCAATGCGAGAACCCCACATCCTGAGAAGTGCCGCCGGAGGGACAGGCGTACACCGTGCCTAAGAAGACAGGCTTGAGGGGCAGAGAGGATCTCTAAAGCACAGAGGCTGGGCACAGTGGCTCACACCTGGAATCCTAGCACTCTGGGAGGCCAAGGTGGGAGTATCACTGGAGCTCAGGAGTTCGAGACCAGCCTGAGCAAAACCGAGAACCCATCTCTATCAAAAATGGAAAAATTAGCAGGGCATGGTGGCGCATGCCTGTAGTCCCAGCTACTCGGGAGGCTGAGGCAGCAGAATCACTTGACCCCAGGAGTTTGAGATTACAGTGAGCTATGATGACGCCACAGCACTCTATCCAGGGCAACAGAGCAAGACTCTGTCCCAAAAAAATAAACAAAAACCATGGCCATAAATTAATAAATAAAAACAAAACCTAAAAAAATTTGGAGGTAACCAAAAATTACATTTCCATAATGCATACTAAGGAAATCACCTGCAATTAATTTGTGACGTCACATCAGACATGTCCAGTAGCCCTAGGATGGTGCTAAGCCAGTCTAGCCAGTTAAAACAACTGGTGACATCCCTTATGTATTTGTTTGGTTTCACAGCTAAAGTATTTTTCCTGCCTTAATACTAATTTTTTCAACTTAATAGGTTAAGTTATTTAACTGTCCTCATATATGCTCTTAGCAAATCAAAAGAATCCCAAAAAAAGTTATCCTAGAAAACAACAACAAAAGCAAAAGATTATTCCTTTGTAGGCACAATGGCTAAGAAAGAGAACTGGCATTAGCTCAATAAACAAGTATTTTCTTCAAGGACAATTAGATAACCTGAATATAATAAGACAATGATAAATGGGCATGTATTAATTAAAACTTTGTTTAAATCACATAAAGTTAGCTGGAGTTACACTACCTTTCATTAATCACAAAAGTATCAAAGTAGACAGATGTCCCACTGGAGGGACATCTGTTCTGGTTGTTAATCACCATCATCATCATCATCACCACCATCATTATCATCATCACAATCACCATCACCATTATCACCGTCACCATTGTCACCATCATCATCACCATCATCACCATCACCATCATTATCATGGTCACAATCACCATCACCATCATAACCATCACCATCATCATCATCACCGTCACCATCACCATCATCATCACAATCACCATCATCATCACCATCACCATCATCATGATAATCATCATCATCCTTGAATTAACTGAACACAGGCTTACCTGGTAGGTGTCGTCATTATTGCTATTTTGCAGATGAGGAAAATAGTGAGGCTGAGTGTGGTAAAATAACTTACTTAATTCACATAGCCAGTAGGTGGCAAGGCTAAGATTGATCTGTCACTAAGTTCTTTGCTTTCTACCACCAATCTTTAAAGAACAAGACACGCCACAGTCATTTTCACACATGATACCCCACTGGGCTCATTTCTATCCCCAGCTTCTGGCCACCCAGGCCATCTCCGGTG